ACACGAGCAGATTTTGCATGGCTATACCACAAGGCTCAGGAAGCTGTCCCACATGTGAGAGCATCTTCCATGCTCGCGGCATGCTCAACCTTGGCAATGTACCTGCCATTCTACTGTACTGTTCTCCTACGTATATGGCTCAGCAACATGGCATTTCTTAGGCCTGCTTGCTTCCTTGTGTGCATTGGCGTGATGGGTGCCGGCAGCAACTTGCATGTTCCTGGACATTCATGTGTCACCCTGTCCATGGAGCATGGACCCCTGAATAACTGTCCGGATTAGGCTCTCATCAAGTCCAAGTTGCCAAGTACATACCACAGCAGTAGTATAATGGTGTGGACTTTACAAACCTCCCATTGACAAGCCTGATGCTTTTTGCATCAGGGGGAGAGTTTAATCATAGAATCATAGAATATCAGGGTTGGAAGGGACCTCAGGAGGTCATCTAGTCCAACCCCCTGCTCAAAGCAGGACCAACCCCAACTAAACCATCCCAGCCAGGGCTTTGTCAAGCCTGACCTTAAGAACCTCTAAGGATGGAGATTCCACCACCTCCCTAGGGAACCCATTCCAGTGTTTCACCACCCTCCTTAGAATGCTAGAGATCCTGGGTTCAAATCCCAGGACAGTCCTGGCAGAAATAGAATTGCGTTCCCTGTAGTTCACCTGGCAGCAGCTTGTGCGGCTGCTTCAAAGCCCTGCTTACAATGGGGGTATGGTTGTTGCAACTCTGTATAGCAGTGCTTCTAGTAGGGGAGGCAGGAAGGTGGCATGAAATTCTCTGCCTTGTGTTATATACAAGATCGGATTAGACATTATTAACGGTCCCTTCTGGTTTTTAAAAGCTATTAAAATTGACATGGCTGTTAATCCAATCCAAATCCTGGGACTGGAACTACGACTGCGGCCAGACATCCGAGGCTAAAACTGTGTCAGGCCCTTCTTCTCGCTAGCAGGCAAAATGCGGCAGGCCCCTTACCCCTTGATAAAGAAATGTCAGGAAATTAATCTCAGCACCCAGCAGCTCCCACCCTGGCCATGCAGCAGTGCTTTGTTAACATAGGCAGAAACTTCATCCTTGTAGGAGCACAGGCAGACGTACAGCAAAAGGAAAATCAAGCGACACCGCATAGAATCATAGAAGATTAGGGTTGGAAGAGACCTCAGGAGGTCATCTAGTCCAACCCCCTGCTCAAAGCAGGACCAACCCCAACTAAATCATCCCAGCCAGGGCTTTGTCAAGCCAGGCCTTAAAAACCTCTAAGGAAGGAGATTCCACCACCTCCCTAGGTAACCCATTCCAGTGCTTCACCACCCTCCTAGTGAAATAGTGTTTCGTAATATCCACCCTAGACCTCCCCCACTGCAACTTGAGACCATTGCTTCTTGTTCTGTCATAGCTGATAAGGGCCTGAAAAATGGCAGTCTGTTAGCTACAAGCCTGGAGAGCACTGTTTTAGGTCTTGCTGGCTGATGTTCTCTCCTGACCAGAGGTAAACAACAAACAGCAGCTTTAATTAAAGTTATTAATCGAAGGGGGGGTGGGAAACATCTTGTTAGTATATAGGCTTGTTTGTCAGCCTGAGATAGAATTTTGGGTTTAACTTTTTGATACTCTTATATCTTATACTAATATGTGTGAACAAAGAACAAGGACACCATGTGTGTTGCTTCTGCTGGGCCAAATGGGTTTGTTAGTATAATGGGAAAAAATAAGGGATAGAGCAGGTAAAGTGTTCTGGAGCATGATGGGAATGTAATATATGAGCATACACTGGAAGGCTGCCTGGCTCTTCTCTCATGCCAAGATTAAGGAACCAGTTAGAAGGGAAAAGAGGCTGCAGGGGAAGGCATAAGACACACTAAAAGCCAAAGAAAGGCCTGGCTTTGGCCAGATCACAACCTCACTCCTCCCCCATCCCATAAAATACAAAAAAAAGAGGGAAACAAAGACCCCAGACCTATGACCCTCCAAAACAGAACATGATCATAAATTGTAAGGGGTGGGACCACCGGCGTGCATTGCAGGTATATTTGGGACTGCTAAGGAGGAGGAGGAGGGAAATGGGAAACGGGAATAGGGATACAGGCAAGGCTCTGCAGCGTCAGAGCTGGGAAGGGGGACACGGGGTAAATGCTCTGCGTCAGAGCTGGGAACGAAAAACTGGGAAACAGACTCTGCCGGCGTGTAGAGCTATGCATATGCTTGCTTGGAACTAATCCCAATAAACATTGCATTGCCTGCATTTCAGACTTCTGGTCTTCTGCTTTCTGTCTGCGTGACAAGAACCAGGGGTGGGGGTGAAGGGAAAGCCCTCTAACACATCTCTCTGTTTTAGGTTTGACTCTCCTCTCATTGTCAGCAGTTCTATACAATTCCTCCTCCACTGGGCCCTGTGATGCTTCTCTGGCCATGTAAAGTGGCCTTAAAACAGGCAGATCCAGCCCAGCTGAAAACCCCCTCTTGCTAAGGGCTTCCCTCACCCTACAGCTTTTCCTGCTCTCATCTTCCACTGTGTAGCCAAAGTGCACTGTAATATGGTTATTTACTTTCCAGGATCCCTGGGAACCAGAGAGTAAGTTAGAGCTTGAAAAATGTGATCCACCTGTATCTTCCAAAACTGGAAGGCATGGAAGGAAAATAAATATGGTGGGGTTGTTGGGTTTATTGTTTTTTTTTTTTAATCTCGTGATCTTTGAATGACTGGAGTTTGCAGAGCTCTACTGCCATCAAAGGAGGTAAAGCTGATTAGCACCAGCATATAATTGGGCTGATTGCTTTCACAGCCGTGTACAATTGATATGAAACCAGTAACAATATGGGTCAGATCCTCAGTGTACCCCTGCTGAGGATTTGGCCTCGGATGACCCTCCCACTAAAGCTTTCTCACTCTCTGAACCCTGAATGACAGCTGCAGTTTATTGGAGATACACCAGGAAGCGTGGAATGTTCAACAGTACATCAGCACGGAGGTGAACCTTGCCACCCAGTAGGCACGCAACATACAGAAACCACATACAGAGCGCATCCTCCTGGCTAGTTTGTCCAGTGAGGACCAGAGGATTTTCTTGAGCTCCCTTTGAATCAGAGACACTTTTGTGGGGGTGGAATATGAAGATAAACATACGGACGTTGTCCTGCTAGGAATTAAGAGCCCAAAACTGTTGCAAAGGCAATGTCTATAGTAGGAGTGCACTAGCAGAATAGGAGTATCAGTACACTATCCTAGCAAAGCTGTGCTTTTATTTGTATAATTTATTCCACCCTCCCTAAGCAAAACAAGCCACACTGGGGATCCTGGTGGCACAGTTGTACTGATCAGGGATCACGCCTCGGAGACCAACACAGCTATGCTGGCAGAAGGCTATAGTGTAGACAAGGCCCAAGTCCTTATTCAAGCAAGACTCCTAGTGACTTCCATGAGAGTTTTAAGTCCTGGTCAACAAACAGATTGTGTACTAATAGAACTATTTCAGTTAGGGGGGGTGTTTTTGCCAAAATAGTTATGCTGGTACAACCCGTAATGTGGACAGTCACATAAGAGTGCTTCTACCAATATAGCTTATTGCTCTGCGTGTACAGGAATAAGCTATATTGGCATAAACTGTTTTTTTAATAGTATAACTTCATCCACACTATAGCACTAACTCTACCAGTGAAGTTAAAGTGGTACAACTTTTGTGTGGTATCAAGGCCAAGAGAGGAGTTGGAACTCCCAAGATTTGTTCCTAAGATAGGAATGCATCTTGTTTATTAGTGGTAATGTTTCATACCGCTCTCAGAGCAAGGAGTACAAGGGCTTACCCTGCTGAGCCAGAGAGTGGGCCAAATTCTCCTCTTCGTTACCCCTAAAGCTGGGTGGAAATTTTCAGGTGAATCCTTTTTTCGCTGAAAAATTGGGTTGATCAAAACTATTTGTGAATTGGGGTCAATTTCAGCAAATAGCTTCAGCTGAGACAGAAAAACAATTGGAATTGCTGAAATAAACTGTTTCGACTTTTCGTTTCGGAACGACAGTTTGCTCAGGGGTTAACATAAATGTAATTTGGGAAAAAAAACATTTAAAAATGTTGAAAACCCCATGAACATGAAACTAAATGCAACTCGAAAACTGAAGATGTTTTTGTTTCGGATTGAATGAAACTTTATTCAATACGAAACCATTTTTTCCCCAAATTTTTGAGTTGACCCCCAAGCCGAAAAATAGATTATTTGCCCAGCTCCCTAGTTATTCCTTCATTTTCAATGGACCTGCACCAGAATTTTGGCCCATTGGGATTAATGTATCCAATGGAAAGAAACTCAGTGGGACTAACTCTGTGACTTTAAAAGAATATTAAAGATGTACACACTGCCATAGAAAGTCAATGGGAGTCAGATGCCTGAGTCTTTTAGCCCCATTTGAAGGCCCTGGCTTAGAAGAACAACACAGAAAATGTTTCTTTCACGGCTACAACAAGTACAGTAGGAACACACAAAGCAGAGAGCAAGCTACAATCCATGATCGCATCCAGACTGCAGAAATGTATGGGATTTTTCTAGTGCAGTATACAGGAAGTTGGATACAAAGTGCAGTAGAGATGGGGGCAGGGGGAATGAATTATCTTCAGGCTCAAGATCTTTTTGGTAAAACTTTTCTGGGAGGGAAATTCAGAAGAAACAAGATCTCTGGTCACAGCAGTTGCGTTACTGTGATGTTACCAGTCACTTTGTCAGTGATAGTGTTGGGTGTGAGCATGTGGATATTTGGTCTCAACAATAATAATACCTACCTCAATTACAGTGTTTTTCATCAGTGGATCTCAAAGCGCTTTACAGAAGAGGTTAGTATCATTATCCCTATGTTACGGATGGGGAAACTGAGGCACAGAGCCCTGTCCAAGGTCACCCAGGGAAGAAGTGGGCGAGCTGGGACTAGAACCCAGGTCTTCTGAGTCCTAGTCCAGTGCTCTGCCCACTACGCCACAATAAAGGTGATAATGACTACAGTTCCTAGGCTTTAGCATCTGGTGGTTCTTTTGCTTGAAGAGGTCGTCGATATGATTTTCACACAGGAACTCCCTCCCCTGCCTCCATAGCTGTATCCTCCAATGCCTCTTCCGCTTCCAGAGCTGGAGCCGCCTCCTCCGACACTGAGCCCGCCTCCTCCTCCTCCCCAGCTTATCCCACTCCCGCCTCCAGAGCTGCTGCTGACTACTGCTGCAAAAGACCGAGATGTTCAAGTTATTCCAGCGGCAGCCCATGACTTGCAGAGCGAAACCCAAACGCATTTGTTTAGCCAGTGTCATGAACTAGCTTATTGGGTCATGTCTGGGGATTGGTCCTGCTTTGAACAGGGGGTTGGACTAGATGACCTCCTGAGGTCCCTTCCAACCCTGATAGTCTATGATTCTATGATCCGCATTCTACCCCCTTTTTAGTGGCTTCCTGGATTGTGTAGTCTGACCAGGGAGCCCGGCCCATGAGGCACATGTACTCCAACTCCCATGAGATGTCCCAGCTGTATTTCCAAATCAAGGTATAGTGGGGTTCGAATTTTTGCCAAAAAAAAAATTTTAATTTTCCATTGGGGGCGGGCAGAAACGACATTTTCCAAACAGTTCTAGTTAGGGCCTCTATGCATCACTCAGGTTGTGCAAAGGGTCTATAATCAGGGTGCAAATGCACAACTGAGAAGTCTCGTGTTTGCATTGATACTGCTGCTCATCCCCTGCATGGCATGAGAAGCATGTCAGGGGAGGGAAGGCGGCATATTGGCTGTAAAAGGGGGCATGGTGGAGTATAGTTCCATGCTGCCAATCCTCCACTGGCATTGGGTTTATTAAGGACCCTACACCAATGGTGCAACTTAGAGCAGCTACTGGGCTGCTCTAAGCATCATTAGAGCCAAGACCAGTGATAACCACCAGGAAACTGTTTCCCACTCTGTCTTGTGCTGAGTAGTGGTCGGGTGGAGGAGAATAGAGGCTTCCAGTTTGCCTGTTCCTATCTTTAGCAAATAGACGCTCAAGTTACTTACAGATGTTCACAGCACTGGCACACTCTCCAGACATCCTGTTGAGGAAAGAAACACCATTTAGGTCATTGATTTAGCCTGGCTGCTACAAGTTAGGACACACCCTGAAACCTGAAGTCAAGGGAAGCCAAGTGTCTGCAGAATTTCCTTCCCAATAGTAGACAAGGCATGTGCTTTCAAAAGGGCGCAGTGCAGCTCCTAGCGCTGCATTTCAATGAGGTCATACGGTTCTTAGAGCAGGTGTGAGGCAAGTTTTGGGTGCCTCCCCCAAGGTTTGGACACCTCTTGTATACCAGCAAGCACAGCTCACTGGAGACTACGAGGGTGCGGTCACATGATGGAAGAACAGTGATTGGAACAGGGTTATTCAGTCCTCGAAGCTCAGAGTTTCCCCAACCACTGGATCTCCATCTAATCACCTGTAGGTTAGAGCTGGTCCCGTGGGAGATTCCGAGATTTCAAAATTTGGATTCATCCCAAAGGGGACGAAAAGTCGAAATCTCTGGATTTTTGGTTAAATTAAATATTCCGCAGACAGTGTTGAACCTATTGAAACGTGTTTCGACTTTAGCATTTCAAATCTATTAAAGTCAAAACAAAATGTTGCGATTACTTCCCGTGAAAATGTTGATGAAACTGATAGAACCCTGTGAAATATTTCGGTTTCTGGAATCAGCCAGCAGAAACCTGCAAGCACGATGATTTGTGGGCAAAAAAAGTATACACCAACCGTAACAGAGGCTGCTTTGCAAAAGTCAGGACCTATGTATATATTGCACCTGCATTCTTCTCCCTCCAGCAACGTCTTGTACGTGGCAATCTCAATATCCAGGGCCAGCTTGATATTCAAGAGCTCCTGGTAATCACGCAGCAAACGAGCCGTCTCCTCCTTAGCTTTCTGCAGGGCCATTTCCAATTCAACCAGCTTTTCTCTAGCGTCCTTCAGGGTAAGCTCCCCACGTTCCTCTGTCTCGGCAACAGCCGACTGCAGTTTGGCGCACTGCAAAGAAAAGAAGAAAGCAAACTAACCATGTGGTCATCCATTCTCAGCACCTCATCTGGAACCCCATGACCGTCAATGAGCATCTTCCCATTGACTTCAGTGGACTTTTGAAACAGGCCTTAAGACTTTTAAATGAACTCTTTATCATCAGACCTTTGGATCATCTTTACTCCATGTAGACCAGAACCAGTACCTAGATACTGTGGTGAATGACACACTATAAATGTGATAGGTAGATAGATAGATAGATAGATAGATAGATAGATAATCTAGGTGTATTTAAAGATGATTAGGTGGGTAGACAGATGGAAGGAAAGAGGCATTAGATGGATAGATAGATGATCTAAGTGTATTTAAAGATGATTAGGTGGGTAGACAGATGGAAGGAAAGAGGCATTAGATGGAAAGAGAAATGAACTAGGTGGAAAGAAAGAAAGAAAGAAAGAAAGAAAGAAAGAAAGAAAGAAAGAAAGAAATCCATTTCTTTCATTCCTTCTTGGTCTTTACTGTAACTGAATTAGATCAAGGCAATTGTATATAACGCCTCACAATATCATATACAGATGTTAAATTCCATAGGCACTTTTTAACTATTCTTCAGAGAAATCATGAAATATGTGGATGAGACTTGATTTGCCCTGGGACTAACTCCTTTCATTGACATTGTAGGGCCTCTTGTGTCATGTTTGGCATCACTATGGGCACCATGGCAGTATTCAGGACAAGAAGAGCACATCTGTCACTCTGTACTAGCGGCCAGGGTTCATAGCAGAGCTGTGTGGATGAAGGATTTTTTGGTTGAGTGGCAATTCCAAAAACTAGAAAAGAAACTGTTTTGTGTCGAACCGAAAACAAAATGTATCAAATTTTCAGCAAATCAGAAAAGTAAAAGACAAAACTTCCCTTTAGATCACATTTTGGTTCTACACAATTGAAACATTTTGTGTTGATGTTGACTATCTTTTTTATTTAAAAAAAATGTATTGACATTTTGAAATGAAAAGTCATTTTGAGCCCCCCAAAATGGAAACATTTTGAAAATGTCAAAACAAAATGTTTTGATTTTGGGGGGAATTTTTTTCCCACCAAAACAATTCAGCGAAACCAAAACGTTGTGGTGTTGCTGTTTCTGCATTTTTCACACACACAAACGTTTTGGATGAATTTTTTTCCCCCAGCTTCAGTTCAGGATGAACACATTTGTTTTACATTAAGCAGAAACAACCTCCTTGTTTTTAGCACCATTACAGGCACCATGGCAGTATTCAGGACGAGAAAAGCACATCTGGCAGTCTGTCACAGTTGCCCTCATGTCCAGGGTCCATAGCACATCTGCTCATTTTATAATAAGAAGATGTGCTCTACCTGTTTTTTCACATTTTCAAGGTCAGCCTGCAGTCTGTGGATCAGCCGGGTCAGCTCCGAGATCTCCAGCTTGGAGTTTTTCAGATCATTGTCGTGTTTCCCAGCAGTGACCTGAAGCTCCTGAAACTGATGGCCAGAAAAAAAAATTATTATAATAGACTATATTTTCCAAAGGCAGATCTAACCTGATCAGGGCTAATTCTGAGAAGCAACTAGGAGCATCAGCTGCTCCACACCTGCTTGATCATGATTATCCAATCAATGGGAGATGGATATATTTCACAGCATCCTTAATTAAAGTGACAGGTACCTCTCTTATTCCTGCATTATGTTCTGTATTCCTTAGCAGGGTGGTTAGGGTGCTATCCTGGGACTTGAGAAACCATAGTTCAATTCCATGGTTTACCACAGACATTGGTAAAGAGATCTTGGGCAAGTCACTCTGTGCCTCAGTTTCCCCATCTGTACAATGGGAATAATACCTGCCACAGAGAGGTGTTGTGAGGATAAATACATGAGGCATTCAGATACTATGCTGGTGGGGCCATAAGTAGATTTTCAGATGTCATTAAGAAGTCAGAAAAATCAATGTGACAAGATATCACTACTATAAACATTGTATTAATTATATTTAGTTCACATAAGTGGTGCTGAATTGGAAAACTCTATTTTATCCACAGAATAGGTGCACAGAAGATCTGGTTGACTCTTTTCCATGTGGCAAAGCCATGAGCATTGTATGGCTCCATACCTTGAAGCCACACGATGACTCACCTTGCCTTGGTACATGGAGTTGGCTTCAGCTCGGCTCCTGTTGGCCATGTCTTCATAGTGAGCCTTCACCTCAGCAATGATCCCATCTAGGTCCAGGGCTCGGTTGTTGTCCATAGACAAGATAACACTGGTGTCACTGATCTGTCTTTGTATTTGTGCCAATTCCTGAAAAACATACAAAGTCCCCATCAGTGAGTGGCCCTTTCTAGATGCCAGATGCTGATTAAATTGCAGTAAGGGCAGTTTAGGTTGGACATTAGGAAAAACTTCCTAATTGTCAGGGTGGTTATGCAATTGCCCAGGGAGGTTGTGGAATCTCCATCATTGGAGATTTTTAAGAGCAGGTTAGTCGGGGATGGTCTAGATAATCCTTAGTCCTGCCATGAGTGCAGAGGACTGAACTAGATGACCTCTCAAGGTCCCTTCCAGTCCTACAATTCTATGATTCTCTCTAGAAACCTGTTGCTCTCATCTATTATCATTCTCTATGTATTTCTTCCTCCTTCCCCCAACTCTTATTGCTGTCTTTCTAGCTAGCTCGCTGTGCCATACGTATGTACTTATTTATCTAGCTACCGAAAATAAAAATGAGGGGAAATGACTCGTATGGTTAAATGTTGTACTGAGCCACAAGGAATGAACCTCACAGTCCTTACCCTCCTTTACTCATGTCTTATTCAAACGCCCACTGATGTTAATGGTTGTTTTGCCTGAATAAGATTTAGCCCAGAGTTTACCCATCAGATAACTCTATGCAGAATTTTCATGGGTGTATTTTTTTCTAAGTAGTTGGTCTCCAAAAGCCCACATCTATCAGGCTGGTCACTTGTATCTGTCATTATTTCCTTGCATATATCATCTAGCCTGCATGGTATTATTCTCAGGTATGTCTTACCGTTACAGGCACCCTCTTGGCCAACATCAGGGAATGAATAGATGACCTCTGGAGCTTTAAGGATGAACAGCTACAACTTGAGCTAAAGCTGAGAGTAGGGGAGGGGCTGTAACAGCTCAAATTCTCTGGGACTTGTAACACACACTCACATTGGGAACACAGGAATTACCAGACTGGACTAGACGCAAGGTCCATCTAATCCAGCATCCTGTCTCTGACAGTGGCCAACACCAGCTGCCCTGGAGGAAAGTGCAAGAACACTATAATAGGCAGGCGAAGGATGGTCTCATCTTGATTCTTAATAGAGATTGCTTTGAATTTTAGGCCTTCCTAAACTCTTATGTCTTATCTAAATGACTACAGAACTTCTGCAATGATGTTCTTCCTGAGGGGGCCCCACTCTGAAGTTCTTCCACCAGTGGAATTCTCTTTGTACTCGGTATGAGTTTTGCCTGGGTGCGTACCGAGAGTCTAATCCTGAAGTCAACTGGAGTTTTGTCATTGACATCAGTGGGAACAGGGTCGTGTTCTTGCTAAGGACATCAGGATCAGATTCTCGGCCTTTTCCTGGCACTTTGCATCATAGGTGCTGGAACTAGGGGCATAGGCGCCAACTTTCCCCGGCGCCAGTGGGTGCTCAGGCCCCGGCCGGCCCCGGCCCTACCCCGACTCCACTCTTTCCCCGCCCCCACCCCGCCCCCATTCCAACCCCTTCCCCAAAGTCCCTGCCCCAACTCCGCCACCTCCCTGCCCCTATTGGACCCCTTCCCCAAATCCCTGCCCCGGCCCCGCCTCTTCCCCAAGCACACCACGTTCCCCCTCCACCCCCTCCCTCCCAGACATGCAAAACAGCTGTTTTGCGGCGCAAGCGTTGGGAGCTAGGGGGGAAAAGCTGGCTGCAGCGCGCTCGGGGAGGAGGCGGAGGCAGAGCGGCGGCAGAGGTGAGCTGGGCGGGGGGGGCGGGGAGCTGCTGGTGGGTGCTCAGCACCCACCAATTTTTCCCCATGGGTGCTCCAGCCCCAGAGCACCCATGGAGTCGGTGCCTATGACTAGGGGTGCTGCCACACCCCATGGCTTGAAGTGGTTTCCATCATATACAGGGTTTACAGTTTGGTTCCATGACTCTCAGCAGCCCCACTACAAAAATTGTTCCAGCACCTCTGCCTTGCATGGTCATTCACACCAGCGTAGTGAGGGTAAAATGGATGTAGATTTCTACCTTTTAGATTCAGTATTGTTTGCTCTCATTTTTGCACTGGTGTATATACAAGATGCAGGTCAGGGGAGAATGTGGCATTGAGTGTTGGATCTTTGGGCAACTATTCTACTGTCCTCCAACTTCTCCTGCTATTTAGACCTTTCCGTTCCTTAGTGTTGGGCCATGCTGCCATGTTTGTAAGTTTTCTGGAAGCAGTCAGGGGCTTGCTTAGAAATTCCACCACTGCAATTTTTCTGGTGACAGGTATAAGACATATATAAACATTTAAGGTGCTCTAGAAAAGTACTAAACATGATGTGGGGCATTTCTGTGTGGAGTAGGAGAACCGAGAACATCCTCACCGTCTCATACAGGGCTCTCAGAAAGTTGATCTCATCTGTCATGGCAGCCACCTTGGCCTCCATCTCCACCTTTTTCATGTAAGCAGCATCCAAGTCCTGAAAAATGGCCATGGAGATCATTCTTTCAAGCTCAGGGGAGCAGGTGACAGTTTCGAGAACAGGAAGGGCTGATTTCCCGTTGCCTTGCTCCTGGTGTGGTAATTTCCAGTAATACGAAGTAAATGCAAAGTGGATGCAAAACACCAACAGGTCAGAACAACAGAGTTTCACACACGCCTTGCACAGGAGGCAAGATACGTCGGGGCCAGGACATAGGGAGCCAGGTCTAGTGGTTGGAGCAGGAGACAGAGTCAAGCCAAGAGTCAGCACTGGAGCCAGAGACCAGGAGGGCAGGAACCAGGAACAGGTCAGGAAAGCATGGTTAAGGAGTCAGGCAAGAAGGCAGGACCCAATGTAGCAGCCAGGCAGAGCCCAGTTGTGTAGACAACTTCCTGCGCCTCTCTTTGGGTTTAAATAGGAAGCCCTGACCAATCAGAGAGCACGATGTTCCTCCAACCAGGCCCAGGGAAGCCCCCCCTGATGTAACTTCAGGTTTCATCATCTCTCCTGCTCAGTTGGTTCATAGGGAGACAGCGGGTGGGAACAGCGAGGTGACAGTCTGCTGGGTCCCCTGGGGGCCCAGCTTTGAGACACAGGGACACAGGACTGGAAGGGATCTCCTGGGTCATTGAGGACAGTCTCCTATGATTGCAGGTCACACTATTCATTATAATGTATGAAGCTCCATCTAAACATTTGTTAGACTGTTTCCCCCCATTACTCCTACTGGGAGGCTGTTCCAGAACCTCCCTCCTCTCATGGTTAGAAACATCTTCTAATTTCCAGCCTCAATTTATTCCTGGCCACTTTACACCCATTTTTTCTTGTGCCAACATTGTCCATTAGCTTAAATAGATCTTCTCCCTCCCTGGTGTTGAGGTCTCTGATGCATTTATAGAGAGCAATTATACCTCCTGGTGCTATAAAGTGCCATGTGGAGAGAATCTTCCCCAGTGTCTCTCAGAATGGGAAATGTATTCCATATTCTAGATAGGTTGACTTTGCTGCATCCAAAACACCTGTTGCTTGTGTGTCAACTAATACTGAATAACTCTGTGCTTTCAGGGACAGATGCATTGATATAGCCCAGTGCAAAGCAGCTATCAGCTTCATTTAGCCAGTTAATCCAGATTTATGGCCACTTTGCATTATCAGAGTAATGTGCAAAGCAGCCAGAGGATAGAGATTAGGACTGGCCAAAACTTTTTTACCCAAACTGCGTTTTGATTGAACATCGTGTTTTTGTCTCAATTAAATTTTTCATGAAAAGTGTCTGCTTTCCACGGAAAATGTTGATAATTTTGTCACAGTACCGAATGGCTCAAAATTGAAAAATTTTTGACTAAACCCAAAATGTTTCAGTTCACACTGGGCCTTATGGGAGTTGTAGCTCAAGTGCCTTACCCTTCCATTTTCTTCTGTGGGCTGGGCTCTCTGGTCGGCCTACATCACCCAGGATGCACCACTCTATCTCCTCACCAAGAGGCAACAAAGTAATGCATCATGGGAGATGTAGTCCAGCGAGAGAGCCTGGCCCACAGATAGGGTTGCCAGGTATCCTGTTTTCGACTGGAACACCTGGTCGAAAAGGGACCCTGGCAGCTCCAGTCAGGACCACTGACTGGGCCATTAAAAGTCCGGTTGGCGGCACTGCCGGCACAGTGGAGCTGGCAGGCTCCATACCCGGCTCCATGCGTCTCCCGGGAAGTGGCCAGCATGTCCCTCCAGCTCCTAGGCGTAGGGATGGCCACAGGGGCTCCGCACGTTGCCCCCACCCCAAGCCCCAGCTCCACAGCTCCCATTGGCCAGGAACTGCGGCCAATGGGAGCCGTGGGGCGGTGAGCAGAACGCCGTGGCCCCTCCGCCTAGGAGCCAGAGAGACATGCTGGTCACTTTCCAGGAGTCACCTGAGGTAAGCGCCACCTGGAGCCTGCAGCTCTCCCCCCCTCCCATGCCCTAACCCCCTGCCCCAGCCCTGAACCCTCTCCTGCACCCCAAACCCCTCATCCCTGGCCCCGCCCCAGAGCCCACACCCCCAGCCGGAGTCCTCACCCCCTCTGCACTCTGAACCCCTCAGCCCAAAGCCCCCTCCTGCACCCCAAACCCCTCATCCCCACCCCAGAGACCGCACACCCAGCCGGAGCCTTCACCCCCTCCCACACCCCAACCCCCTGCCCCAGCCTGGTGAAAATGAGCAAGTGAGTGAGGGTGAGGGAGAGCGAGCAACGGAGGGAGGGAGGATGGAGTGAGCAGGGGCGGGGGCTCGGGGAAGGGAAGGGCATGGCAAAGGTGTTTGGTTTTCTTCAGTTAGAAAGTTGGCAACCCTACCCACAGAAGAGGAGAAAGTGAGCATAAGGCACCTGAACGACATCTCCAATGTGGCACCATAGCAGCATTTTGAATCAAATTATTTTGGTTTTTAGCCAAAAGATTCCAGTTTTCAATATTTTGCCCAAAAGTAGCAATTTTCCATGAGAAAAAATACTTCGTTTCTAACCAGCTCTAGTGTAGATGCATCTGGCCCTAATGCTGTGATACATAATGTTGTATTCCAAACGTGCCTTCCAGTTGTACTCTAGCTGAAATTTAACACCTCAGTCCTTTCAAACTGTGTAACTATCTGTATCTAATAGTCACCTGTCTATCTATGTGCACATATACCTGCATTCCTAGCTATACACTTGCCTGTGAATCCCACTCTTAGAAATACAAACGGTTTAAATAAAATCAAACCTGGCTTCTATTATGTAATTTATATATTTTTAAAGTCTCTCACCCAAAATTTATGAACATTCATGACCTTCTGTCCCAGTTAGGTAGGTCAGTATTGTGTGCCTCTTGCAAATGGGGAAACTGAGGCATACAGCAGGAAAGCAACTTGCCCAAAGTTACTCAGCATGCCAGTGGCATTCAGATGCCCTGGCTCTCAGTCTCTTGCTTTAACCACTATACTGCATTGCCTTCAACTTATGCCTATGGCCAAGCCTTTTCTCCATATCTTTAAAGCCACTTCCCTTCTTGTGAACGGTCCAAGGTTTCCTTTGTTTTAGGTGTTTTTATTTTTGTACTATCTTCTCTTCCCCATGCATGCCCCCTGCCAACATTATTGTTATGTTCATGGCATACACACAGAGAAGTTAGACAAAGAACATAAAACACCTTTTCTGGAAGGTTGCAGCAATACACTACTTTATTTCTTAGAATCCAGAATCCTAACACACAAGAACCAAAGAAAAAGCGAGACAAAGCAGACTGCTTCCTAACAAGGAGAGGCCTGGGTCACCTTGCTCTAGGCTGATTGTTTGCAGAATGACTGCTCAAAGCCCAGATCGCACGCTTTCCTACAAAGCCCCCCAGCCTGCAAGCAGGACTAGGAAACCCATCACACTTAAAGGGATAGCATGTCATTTTCACACAGTTTTCATTACATCACAAATTATCCTGCTGAATCAGGACCCCATCGTGCTAGGTGCTGTACAAACACGTAGTAAGACAGTGCCCCTGCCCCTGACAGCTTGCAAACTAAATAGACAAGACAGACATAGGAGAGGAAACAGGCAAGAAATGACTCGCCCAAGGTCACAGCCAAGAGGAGAACATAGGTGTTCTGAATCCTAGCCCAGAGCCCTAACCACTGGACCAAGGCATATGCTCCAATTAGCATCCATGAGAGTGGAGCAGAGACAACCAACCCTTAATCTTTGATAAGGTGTTACTCACCTTCTTCAGCAGCACAAACTCATTCTCCGCTGCCATGCGCCTGTTGATTTCCTCTTCGTATCTGTCAGGACAGAAGACAATACGCAGTACTACTGCTGACAGGTCCCAAATAATGCAAACATCACAAAAATACCATCACCATGTCAACTCAATGTAAAATGAAATTCAGAATGAAAACTTTCAGAAACCAATCTTTTTGTTTCAATATTTTTCCCTGTGCAGGAATTTTCGTCCACATTTTGATACAATTTCACATACCCAACACACGCAAAATTAGTTTGGTCAATTTTCCTCTTTCGATGATGTTTTTCCAATCAGCGCTGCTTGCAATTCCCGTGCTATCCCTGCACTGGTAGATGTGCTGGCTGGGACTTTCGAAAGCATTCGTGGCTGGCGTAACCCTGCTCCCGTTTTCCCAGCAATGTCAATGGGAGTCGAGTTAGGCCAATGCTCAGTGCTTCTGAAAATCCCACCCGGCACCCTTTTGCACTCGCTCAGGTTAAAAAAAATCTCTCATCCAGCACCTGCAGCATTGTTAAATGCTTCACACTGTCCAAGGACTTATTGCAAAGCACCAGCCCAGAATTCTTATTAGGGTTGGCAGAATTCAACCTTTAGGTTTTTATCATTTCGACAGATAACGTCGATGTTTATTTTTAACCTTTTTTTTTAGATTTTATCATCAATTTAAATGTCCACAGTTCCACAAAACTATGGGCTATAAGCATATTTGAACATTATTTTTATTGATTTAAATGGTCCCAATTGCAGGAAATCGTGAGGTGAAGGTTCAGACAATAATTGCTTAACGGAGGTATTACAACACGTTTTATACACATGAAGAGGGGACTTGAATAAGTTCTCAAGCAGCAGTTTTCTTATTTTGCCTGTCAGTACATTCCGATTAACAACTATTGAAATTCTTTTCATTGGTTTGCGTGTATACGGTGAAATCAACATGTTCGAACATTGGCACATAGCCTAATAGTTACGCAGTGTCAAAGGACCAGAGTTTTAAAGGTATTTAGGCACCTAAAGATGTAGACAGACACTGTAACAGGGTATACTGGCCCTTAAATATATAGGGGGCCAGAAGACCCCATTCCAGAAAGCGGGAATGAATAAAAACACTGGAAATTGCCTTGTAGTGCAGTGTTTCTCAAACTGGGGTCGCCGCTTGTGTGGGGAAAGCCCCTGGCGGGCCGGGCCGGTTTGTTTACCTGCCCCGTCCGCAGGTCCGGCTGATTGCGGCTCCCACTGGCCGCGATTCGCTGCTCCAGGCCAATGGGAGCTGCTGGAAGCGGCGCGGGCCGAGGGACTTACTGGCCTCCGCTTCCAGCAGCCCCCATTGGCCTGCAGCGGCGAACCGCGGCCAGTGGGAGCCGCGGCCAGTGGGAGCCGCGATCAGCCGGACCTGCGGACGGGGCAGGTAAACAAACCGGCCCAGCCCGCCAGGGGCTTTCCCTACACAAGCGACGATCCCAGTTTGAGAAACACTGTTGTAGTGGAGAAGAAGTAACAGTCCCAGGAAATTAGCTGTTGGATGGGGGAGGAGGGGAACAGGACACTGTCCCTTTAAGGGTCCAGGACCAGGAGCCCTGTAGTCTAGGATGAGTTAGGGCTCTCCTCTCTTCCAGCCAATCAAGAGGATTTCTCTGGAGGAAGGCAGGATATAGACAGCCTTCTCCCTCAGAACAGGGGAGAGGCAGGTAGGAGAAGGAAGCTATATCCGGAAGGCTGAGCTCTAGCTAGAAACAGCTACGAGTAGCAACCCTGCAAAGAACAGATGCTGGCAGGAGAAGAACTCCACTGGGGTGGGCAGAAAAGCCAGAGACTGGAGTGAAGCCCTGGGGTTGCAATGCTGGATTTTATTTTTGAGACACTAAGGACTATGTGGAATTGTCTGCAGTCATTAAACCAGTCCCAAGTAGAGGTTGGCACTACTCACAAGAGAGACTCTGTGGAGCTCATCAGGGGCCCCGAAGAGGGACAATAGAGGGACAGCACTGCATGAGGAGGCGCTCAATAAATGGCAGCTCTGTCACAAACGCCTAGTGGGATTTTCAAAAGCACGTTGGGAGCTGGGCACCTAGGTGCTTTTGAAAATCCCATTAGGTGCCTTTCTGCATCTTCAGGAGCCTAAATGCCTCTAAAAACCTGGCCCTTAGTCCATGGAGAACATGAACGCGACCCAGCGCTTTCTTCACATACTTGTGCTTCAAGTCCTCCACCAGATCCTGCATGTTCTTCAGTTCTGAGTCCTGCCTTCCCCTCTCCCCCACCAGACTATCAAGATGCTTCCTTAGGCTGCCAATGTAGGCCTCAAAGGCGGGCTCCAGGTTGTTCCCAGCATTTGTCGTGGGCTGCTGCTGCAGCAGGTTCCATTTGGTCTCCAGAACTTTATTCTGTTGCTCCAGGAATCGGACCTGAGATCCAAACAGAGAAAAGAGGCCCCAGATGTTGGAGACGATCCTCCAGAGCACTGGCAGGTCAGTTACCCTAGCAACCTGCTCATCTCCCATTCCAGCGTCAGGGAAATCTTGGTTAGCCCTCAACAGGATTTGGTCATTTGCTATTCTCAATTCTATGGAAATTAAAAAAATCTGTAGCATCTGACCCTCTGTTTATTTATCAATCTACCCCCTACACATTCCACTACTGATCAACCTATTGATGACTCTATGTATCCCCCTACACACCTCTCTAGCTGTCCTTAGATGCAGAGTAATGATTATGATGATTTCAGCAGGACTTGGGCACATGCTTAAATTTAGGCCCATGCTAAAGTGTTATCACGACTATGGAGGCTTTGCTGAATCTGCAACAATGATGACGACAATTAAAATAATTAAGAAACTACCGGGCCCACCTTGTCGATGAAGGAGGCAAACTTGTTGTTGAGGGTCTTAATCTGCTCCCTCTCCTGCACTCGCACTTTCTGGATCTCTGGGTCGATCTCCAGGTTGAGTGGCACAAGCAGGTTCTGGTTGATGGTCACTTCTTGGATGCCACCAGGTGGGCAAATGGGGAACCCAGGGCTACTCCTCCCACCACCAATTCCTCCACCGAACAACCCACCACCACCAAAGCCACCAGCCCCACCACTAGTGCCAAAGCCACCACCAAAGCCACCGCTGAGCCGCCAGCCTCCACCAATCATGCTATTGGAAATGCTTTTAATCCCGCCTAGATTATAGAGACTTCTGCTGCCAAAGACACAGTGTCTACTTCTTCCTCGGCTCAGAGAGGTGCAGCTGGATCTGCCCCCACTGGAAACAATCGCAGAGACGCTGCCGAAGCCCCTGCTGCAACCTCCGGCTCCGGCGTTCAGCTGCCGACTCATGGTGGCTTGTTCCAAGAGGACTCCGGAGCACTATGACAAAGCTACGGCGTGAGAACAGAGCTGGGACAGGAGAAGTAGGCGCCCCCTGACATGACAGCTGCTCCGTCTTCCTTTATATGTCTTTGAGCTGGGGTTGGAAGAGCAGGTGTAAAGAAAACAATCTCAGCTATTCATGGGCTTGGTTTTCCTGGCAGGAAGCCCATTCTTTATTCCAACCTACTAAACACTTAACTTCAGCTAAACTCACCCCCGGCACAAAAATTATTTTCGTTCCAGGGTGGATGGGTTTTTTGACGGTAAAATAAGCGCTGTGTGACGATCCCCAATTTGGCCAACACATCTGGGGTTGGACCAGCGACCACCAGAGCTAAAATCATGAGCGACTGCGTCTTTCGCTACATGATGGGCATTAAACAAGTGGAAGCTTTTCCGGGATTTGAGGAAGGATGGGCCCATGGTTAGGGCATTCACCTGCCATTTGGGAGATCTGGGCTCAAGTCCCAACTCTACCACAGAATTCCTGTGTGACCGTGGCAAGTCATTGACCCTCTTTCTGTGCCTCATCTATGAAATGCAGATAATAGCACGTCTTACCTCCTAGGGGCGAGGGAGGATAAATACATTAAAGATTGTGAGGTGCTCAGATACTACTGTAAAGGGAGATAGACCTGATGTGAACCGCTGATGCTTCCTTTGTACCCAGAAAGTAACCCATTGATGAGTGCATGTTCCAGACCCTCCTTTGTGTCCAATCCACAGAGGATATGAGTCTGTTACTACCCCTGTCTAAGGAGCTGGAGCAGCTCATGTTTTTAGCTCTGGATATCCCCCGTTCAATTCCTGATGTGTCGATCAAGAAGGCAGCCTTCACACAGAGGCTATGTCTAGGCTACAGGCGCAAAGGTATGGCACTGCGGTTTTGTCCTTGTAGCTTAGACACTTCCTGCGTCAACAGAAGGGGTTTTTGCATTGATGTAGGTAATCCACCTCTCCGAGAGACGGTAGCTTGGTTGACGGAAGAATCCTACAGCATCTACAGTCAACATCTACAGTCAACCTAACTATATCAAACAGGGTGCAAAATATTTCACATCCCTAACCCATGTAGTTGGGCAGATATAATATTTTGGTGTAGGCAGGCCTAAGTCAGATGCCAATGATGATGTTGCAAAGTTAACGTGGTTAACTTTTTCACGGTCGTCAACGCACATAGGAAAGGAGAGGAAAGCTCGGATTATGAAGCTCTACCCCAGCTTTCCACAAAGTGACTAACCGTCAGGGCATGGAAATTGTATCAGTTAGGACAGGTAAGACACATGGAAGGGCTGCAGGTGGAATCACACCTGGTGTCATTATCATGAAAGATGGCTCAGCTTTCAGAAGTTGGGGGAATACTTTCCGAAGATATTCAGTACGGTTGGTTGAAAAATGTTCCCACCTGAAAATATGGTTCCATCTAAATTGCAGTTTTCCACTGGAAACTTTCCAATTGGAAAAACGCAAAGCCACTGAGAGAGTGTGAATTTTTCTGCACTTTCTCTCACTTTTTCGAGTGAAAAAAAAAATGGAGAGAAAAAGGGGTAGGGGGAAAGTACAAAACTGCAAATGGAAATCTGAAATTGTTGTTTCCACAAACCGAAATGCCATTTTATGTTTGAACAAAATGAAATTTTTCATTTAATTTCAAATCAACATTTTAAAATCACATGAAAGTTGATGTTTTGTTTTGATAGGTCCTACAGAAACTGGGGGGAGGGGAAATTTTGAAGGAAAATGTTGGTTTTCCAATATTCTATGTAAACATAGGTTGTTATTATTATTATTATTATGGTAGCAGCTCGGAGCCCCAGTCATGGATCTGGACCCCAGTGCGCTAGGCACTGTACAAATACAGAACGAAATGATGGTCAATTTCCCAAAGAGTTTACAGTCTAAGGCCAGGCCTACACTACCGCGGTAGTTCGACGGCTGGCAATCGAACTTCCGGGTTTGATTTATCGCGTCTGGTCTGGACGCGATAAATCGATCCCGGACGTGCTCGCCGTCGACTGCGGTACTCCAGCTCGGCGAGAGGAGTACCGCGGAGTCGACGGGGAGCCTGCCTGCTGCGTGTGGACCGCGTCTGAACCGCGGTAAGTTCGAACTAAGGTATGTCGACTTCAGCTACGTTATTCACGTAGCTGAAGTTGCGTACCTTAGTTCGAATTTGGGGATTAGTGTAGACCAGGCCTAAGTAATGCTGGATTTTTTATTATTATTTAATAGCACTTACGTTTAATACATCTTACGTTTTGAGCTGGATGGGAACCAGATTTTCTGTTCACTAGGACAGTACTGAAATGGAACAAAAATCTGAAACTTCTCATGAAACAAAATTCTGAAAAAAAAACCTCATCAACACATTTTGTTTCAATAAAATCAAGATGTTTTGTTCCAACGTCAACATTTTTTAAATCCTTATAAATGTTTTATAATATAAAAGAACATTTGAAATGAAAAATAGAAATGTCACAGTCCAATAATGTCAGAATGGAACAAGCTCATTTATTTCCCACTTTCTGCAAAAGGTGTCACTTTAGATGAATCAAGATTTTCCAAGAGAAAAACCTTACCCTGGAAAATTTCTGAGCCGCTTTACTTACATTTGTTCTTTGATAGCATGGGATCAGATGCACCTCATCACTGTAAGTGAATAATGGAAATTATTTTGCCTTATTCTCCTGGTACGGAAGCTATTTTAGAAGCTGTCATAGCATGAACAAACGTATAGCTCTAGTGACTTTCTCTACATGCAATTGTCAGTCTTTGATCTCATCATGTCACCTGGGTGCAGAATGCTCTGCACTGCGGTCACCCAGCGTGTCTTAAAGATGATCATCTTTTTCTGCCAGAGGCAAGGGAATTATAGTCATATCAAATCAGTATCAGGAACTGGGGTGACGGAACACAGCAGTGTTTGCTAATCTTATTAACAACCCAATTTATCACTAAAGAGTGATTGAGCGGTACGTGACAATGATAGTCTTGTAAAAAAAGATTAATTGATTGCAAAAATAGGTGAAAGATTTGGGCCAGAATCCCACCTCCTGTTTTGGCCACTTTTCACCACTCAGCTGGTAGAATCTGCATCTAACTGAATATCCCTCTCACTTGGCTTGGCTTCTTCCCTTTGAGGTACACTGTTCACATACTTTTAGCATACACTCCCAACTAAACAGGGAGTGATATATACCCTTGAGGATCAGTTTCATGTCAGCAGTGTGGGTGTTCTGAGCTTAATGAAACCATTTTAAGTGGTAGTAAACGTGGTAATTATGTATGTTGGCTCTGGATCACCATTCAATCACCCTCGTGTGAAGTTGTTCGCCACTGAGCTGTTGGCTGCAGAAGAAAAGTTGGACGAGTATTGGAGCTTGCAAACTTGGCTATTGTTGCTGTTATCTTTCATAAATACTTACTTGCCTGCCTATTGAGGATGTTGACGGGAGAATTAATGTTTGACGAGTGCTTTGAACATGTAAGGCACTATATGATTGATTAATTATGATTATTATGACAACATGCTTTTCTGTAGCACTCATTACCATAGTATCCACTCTCAAAGTTATCATAACTAGGACCTGATTGTGCAAGGTGCTGTACAAACACAGAACAACAAAACAGTCCTGTGATGGGCTGTTCACTCCATACAGGGCCTGGAAGGGTTAAAATGGCTGAGTGGGCCAATAAACTGCCCAGGCTACATCTGGAGAAGGAGACAGGGAGCAGAGATTTAAGAAGACCAGGCTCAGCTGGCAACAGAAAGGACTGCAGGGAGGTAGTCTGAGGTCACTCCCTGGCAGGAGGGAGGTGTGTTAGATCTAAAGAGGGTAGTGCAGTTATTCCCTGGGAAGAGGGAGTTGGGAGGCTGGCAAACCCAGAGAGGGCAGAAGCCAGGAAGGTAGAAGCAGGCTCATGGGTAAAGCAGCGAGGAAGAGGATTGTAGACCTTGGCTGCTGAACGGAGGGTCCCTGAACTGGAACCCAAAGTAGAGGATGGGCCCGGGTTCCCCAACCAGCCCCTGGGGATGTGGCACCGACCAGGCAGAGGACAGTGGGCTCGCTGATTTGTTCCAGAAAGACTTTGTTACATACCCCAGAAGGGGGAATCATGTAGTGACCTGGCCGGAGAGCCGAGTCACGAAAAGAAGGCTGTGGTTCCTGGATCGAGAGGAATCCGCGGGATGAAAGGACAATGGGGGAGACACTGCCAGAGGAGAGTGAAATGCCTGGTCAGAGCTAATCCCCTGAGCAACCAGGAGAAGGTGCCTCCTGTGGTGAGTGGACCCCGTGACAGGTCCCAATCCCAAAGAATTTACAAAAATAAAAATAATTAGATTAATTTCTCTTCCAGTACTGCCAAAAGAGAGGCATCTGGTTCCCTGTCTGAGCACTCCGAGGGTCCAAGGTGTTTGGATCCAGGGTTTTGGTTCTGGGCTACTTCAAAAGTCCTCACATAAGGTCTCACCCAGCTCTAATCCCCACAGCCCTGCTTAGCAACATGTCACTTTCCACCGAAGATTGACAGCCCCACACACTCCGTCCGGCCCATCAGATGCTCCCCTTTGAGCCTTCAGATCGCCGGTGGGGTGGGCAGAGTGTCAGCTCATTCCATCGAGTTATTTGCACAGTGCGTGTGATCCAAAAAAAGACCTTAATTGCCTTGGTAAAACCAGTTGGTCGTTTTCTGTCACTGCAGAGAGCACGTCTGCCCTGAAGGCATCGATTTAATTAATATCAGACTCTCCTAGCTAGTTTCCACTCACACAGGACAGATGTCGGGAGCCAGAAGAGAAAAGAACTTGGCCGAGTGCTATAGTTGGGGACTGTAACAACTCACATCCTGTAACACATGGCTGCAAGCGGGTTACAGAGACATGCTATCAAAGGCAAAGTATTTAGCAGTAACAGCACTGTGCCTCTTGCGGCAACAGCCTTTCTCTGAAAATATCTTGCCCTTCT